GAGAGTTGTTCTTCCTCTCGAATTGAAGAACATTGTATCTTGCTTTGGTTTTGATCATCTACTAAAGGAATACAATTATTTTCTATTGTTTTCCAACGTTTTCTCCTTATTCTCTCAGTTTTTCTACTGTTTGGTGGCTGTTTTCTATTGAAAACAGTGGAATAATTGTGTTTTGGCAAGAATCCGATAGGAATCACTTGGAATATTCAAGTGGAACCTATCAATGTCCTACATCATACAATCTTGATAACTATTATCGACAGTATCATCATGAGCCTTATCCCAATTTTTATAGTTAGCCTTTTAATCCTCTTCACCAGTTAAATTCTAAATGGGTATCCATTGCTGATTTTCATATGCAATTTTGTGTTCAATGAACTGCAAATATTTTCCGACCATTAGCAGTAGTGATATGCCTTGCTATGAAATATTTGCTTTTTTGTTGTAGGTTTTTTTGATTTTATAATGGCTTCAACAACCTTAAGAAGGAGACTTCATCACGGGGATGTTGATGGAAGAAAAAATGAACACATGGATGCTTTAGGATCAGATTCCCTAAGCGAACCTCTTCTTGGAAACTATATTTATGATACAAGCCCATCAGAGGTGATATTGGGATTTTATTTGTTAAGTATGCTTTACAACGGTTCAAATTTATGTTGATCAACATAACTTACTTTTAATCTTGTAAATATCTAAAGAAATTTAGTCAAAGAAGACATCAAGATCCCTGGGATGACGGGAAGAAGGAAAATCTCCATTGGACATTTCTTTTTTCTCAATTGATTGCTCAATGGGCACAGTGGATAGGTATTTGTCATCACTTATATGTCATTACAAAGAGTACTGTTTTGTGCAAATAAGGAACGTATTTTAATGAAATTTACATGATTGATCCTTGCCTGATGAAGGCAAACTTTTTAAGCCTCTTGCTAATTATCTCATTAAAGTTTATATTCTGTTGTTATAAGCAAATAGCTTTTAAACTTTATGCAGTACCATTATTCGACTATTTATCTTTAACTTTGCTGTTTCAATTCAACCAAATATTCCTTCTTACATTTAGATGTCAAGCTAAACTGTGTAATGATTTAGCTTCTTCTGGAAACTGATCAGTGAACGAATAAACTAACTTGACAAGAGGCAATTACAAGTGCCAATTTATGATGACAAAAAGCTTCAAATCCTGTTAAAGTTACATCAGTAAGTTTTATTTTAGCTGGTAGAAATTATAGATTATCTTAAACCTCAGTCTATAATTTTTTTTGGGAGGCATGATCAATGCTGCTGGGCAATGTTTAAAAAAGTAAAGCCATGAATTGAATGGCTTGCTCCCAAAAGTTCACCTTAAGATTTAAATTGCGGAGCCTAAGCTTTTTGAATGTATATCTGTTATTTTTAGCTAATGGTTTTGGAAGGGTTAAACATGCAAAAAGTATATATATTTAAATACTCTAAGCTTTTAGATATACATTCCAACATAAATAAAATAAATAAATTATACACACTATATACTTATGGAATCATGAATGTAGGCATGTTTCATTCTTCTATGTTTTGCATGGATGAAAGATGGACGTCATAGTATGATTCCGAGAACTTTGGGATTTAAAAGAAAATTATGTGAGGTATTGATTTAATATGCCAATCTTATGCAATTTGCAAGCGACTCTGCACAAGTCAGTAATCGTACTAAAGAATGATCAAACAAAATCACAATGCTGAACATTTTACTTCATTCAAAGAAACAAAAAGGTGTACTTAAGTTTCTTTTAACTGAAAATAATTTTAAAATTTGTAATTTAAATTCTAACCCATAAAAGTATACATGTATTTGTTGAGACATATCGAGAAAGTTGGACAATAATAGGGACTTATATCAAGTAATGGGTGAATTGTTAACCTAATCGAGCTAAGATTTTGATGCATTCTATTATGACTATGTATAAGCTTTTATGTTACAAAAACTAAGAAAGAAGTGTTGAATTTGAAGTTAGATGCATAAGCTTCAAATATTTACAATTTAAGTTTAAGGTACTTTGTGAGTGGTATGCTTCTAAATATAAAGGAGGAGCTTCCAAGCTAGTTTCTATAACGTTGTTAATGAGTTAGGGGAGTCCATTCTTTGATGTCCTGTGTGTTATAGCTTTTTCCATCCCTCATCTAAGCATTTTTATTAATTTACCCTTTATAATGTTTAGTGCTAAAAGTTTTGCAACTGTGAAAACATACTTGAACCTTTTGGTGACCAAAGTCTTGAAAATTGAAGTTAATTCCATTTGAACAATGCCATGACATAGCAAGCAACTCAAACTATAGATTCAAGCATAGTTCTCTCAGCAACCAAAAATATCAAAGGGCCTAAAGCAGAAACAATTGATGATTACCTCCATACTAACGTTAAGTAGACATGGTATGGAAATTTATTTGGTTGGCTGTAACTAAATTAATTATTCAAATGCTAAATGTCATTGGTTGAATCCACTATTCACACCTTTCTTCCAGAAGTATCTCTCTCCCTACGCCTAATCTCTCTAACACACATATTGTTCTCGACACATGCTTGCACAAGAGGAAAGCAAAATTCTCCACGTTTTGCTGACAGCCTCACCTTTACTATGTGTGGTTCTTATTTATTTATTTATTTATATATTTTTAAGTTTATTATAGTTCTTAAATTTATTTGATGTAATGCTGATAACAAGTTATCTACTGCAGCGAATATTGTCCTTGGTTCCAGGTCAATTTTGGAAAGACTTTTTCCTTTTTCTTCATTTAGCTACGGAAGGCAGGATGATGAGAAATTGCTAAAAGCTCTTAGCCCCTTACAGGTATGCATATTTTCAAAGTAATAGTGAAACTTTCCTTTCTTTAAGCAAAGCAGATTTTGATTTATTTTATTTCTTTTAGTAATGTAATAAGCTGGAGATACGTTAGGAACAAATAATGCATTTGTGAATTATTAGATACAATCTGATTCATTATCAAATCCAGCTCCTCTTGAAACTTCACAAGTATCTTACATGGTACCTTCTTTAGGTTGAATGCCAAGTTATTTTTCTGAGAGTTAAGAGATATTCACTCCTATGAATATCCAAGATGCACTACACAGTTATATCCTTTCAACATAATCAATTGAATTTTAAGCTCCGTTTGGTATGGCTGTAGCTATCTTATATATATAATTAGTTATGGGATTTTGCGGGGATTGGGAAAAGTATAGTTTTTAAAATCTATTGTGAGTATTATAATATTTTGTCTTTAGAAAAAAAATTCTTAAAACTATCAGTCTATAAGAAAAGTTTCTTCTCGTCACCAAAATGTCTGACAAGAGACAAAAATGTTCCTTCTCTATTTCTTTCTTCTAATTCTAATCTACTTTATGGCAGACACTCTCTTGTAACTTAATGATTTTCTTTTTTTGTCTACTGTGCAGCAAGAAAGATTGCACAACTTAAAGCAGAGATTGAAGGTCCCATTTGACGGCTCCCGTTATGATCATCAAGTATATTTTTTTAGTTAAAAGTGCATGCAATTTTTTTTTTTTTTCATTGAAGATTCTTCGATTTTATAGTAAAAGTGCGTGCTATTTTTTTCATCTCGATGAGGCTCAGCTCGTGAGCTCGAGAGCCGGCTCGAATTAATATTTTAAAAATTTTTAAATTATTAATATTTAACAATGAAAGTTTATTATTAATATTTCAAATAAAAATCATATAAAATTTAATCATTACTAAAACAGTGAAAGTTTAAAAAAAAAAATATAAAATTTAAAACATCTATTCCATGATTCGAGCTCGAACACCTCCTGATTCGAGCTCGATTCGACTTGTTTACACCCCTAGGCCTTTTACTTTTTTTTTATTTTTATTTCCCTAGGCCTTTTACTTGAAATGTGCAATAAGTCGAGTTTGCCAAAACTTACATCTGATCTGAAATGATAAATTTGAAGAAAAAAAATTTCACTCTCTCTTGTAGGATGCATTGAGACAACTCTGGAAGCTAGCATATCCCAATCGAGAAATCCCCCCTCTCAAATCAGAATTATGGAAGGAAATGGGCTGGCAAGGTACTGATCCGTCTACAGATTTTAGGTATTACATAACATTCAACTTATCTTATTTGTTAAAACCAGATGCTTTTTGTTCTTCTAGCAGTTCTAGATATGAATAGACATGATGATACTAACTAGTACTGAATTTCCTATTATTTATCCAGAGGTGGTGGCTTTATATCATTGGAGAACCTCATATTTTTCGCCCAGAATTACCAGGTAGCTACATACTTCTTCGTGATGCAGCTGTTGTTATTTTATTGTAATCAAATTCCTTTTAAATACGGAGAAAAATTTGCCACTAACATGTCATTACTCATGCAGGATTCTTTTCAGATTTTATTGCATAAAAGAGATGGTAATCGGGCCGAATGGGAGTATCCTTTTGCTGTAGCTGGAATCAACATATCGTTTATGTTGGCGCAGATGCTGGATCTGCAAGCAGGTTATTATACTCTACAACCACAAGATGTTCTTATATTTGGAAATATATGAAATCTAATTCAGTAATCTAGAATTTAAAAAAAAAAAAACGTACTAAAAAATTGCTTTAGAAAGCAGTAAAAAAGTTGTATCAAATGAGAGAAATTATTCTGTGCGGACGTCAAACATAACTCTACGTTCGGATACCAACCAAAATGAGTCATGTCAACAATACTGAGCTCCGGTACCGAGCCGCTGGCTAAAGCATATGGAAGGCAAAATTGACCGCACAGAATAATTTTTCCTCAAATGAAGCCTAAATCTGCGTAATGTATTTTCATGGATAATAAATATAGGTCAACAGCTAAACACCTTGTGCATCTGAAATCAATGCTGATCTAATCTTATGATCTCGAAAAATTATTACGTGCCGGTCCGGATTCGTCCGGAAATCAATAAAAATGCACCACGTCGCTCAAAAAATATATCGCGCTCGTACCGAGCGCAGAACCGGACGGTTCTCCTATCCAGTGTCCGCACAGAATAATCACTCTATGATCTCATCCTATTTTGCAGGCACTCCAACATCAAAGGCAGGCACTCATTTCTTAGAACTACTTGCGAACAACGAGAGTGCTTTCGATGACCTCTTCTGCGTAGCTTTCAGGTTGATGGATGCTCAATGGCTGGCAAAGAGAGCTTCTTACATGGACTTTACTGTAAATATCCAAACCACCCTCATATTTTCTCCATTACTGTGCAATAATTTGTGCTCAAAGCTTTATTTTCTTCATTGCTGATTGCGTTCATGTATTTCCTTTGAAGGCTGTTCTAAAGGCTACAAGGGCACAGCTAGAACTCGAGCTTGCACTGGAACACATTTCTTCTGTGAAGGACTTGCCGGCTTATACAATGCTGTACAGATAGGTGCCTTCTTTCCCATTTATGATGGATCATTAATGCATGATTCATAAGCTATTAATAATTTTATAAACTTTGGTAGTGATAAAAAATATTTTCTTAAGAGGAATATTATGCAAGTAACATATTAAAATATATAATTTGATGAATATACAGTGTATCTATTTTTTTCACTTTAAGGCCTTTTCCTGCACTATCAAAGTACTTTGATTAAGGTTTCGTTTATGACGGTTTTTTTACTGCTTTTTAAAGCAACATTATAGTACAAAAATTGAAATTTTTATACTAGAAAACTGTTTTAAGAAGCAGTAAGAAAGCCGTCCTAAATAAAGTCTAGGATGACTTTCTTATTAAAAAAATTTCGTACAAAAAAATTGCTTTAAGAAATAGTGAGAGAAAGCTGTCTTAAATGAAACCTAAATATTGAAAAAAAAAATATGAGTATAAATTTATTCTTTCTTAAAGTAATTTTGTAGTACAAAAATTAAAAATTTTATACTATAAAGCTATTTTAAGAAGCAGTAAGAAAACCGTTTGTATTAGAAAGTTGTTTTAAGAAGCAGTGAGAAAGCCGTCCTAAACAAAACCTAAATATTGAAAAAAAAAATATTTATATATTGGTGTAAATTGTATTATGATGAACTAGGGATTAGAGCCTTATTAGTTTTTAGTTAAATCATAAATAGGGCTGCCAAAAAGCTCATTGCTTATTCTATCTTATTTTAATAGTTTTTAGCTGAGTCATAAATTTTATATTATTTTATTAAATAATAATAATATTTTATATTATATTAAAATTTGATGTTGGCTCACATCTTATAATATAAAATATTATTATTATTTGTTAAAATAATATAAAATTTATGACTCAGCTAATCATGCATAGCATGACATATAAAAGTTGAAAAAATATATATATTTAGTGGGTCTGGAAAGCTCTTAT